CCTCCCTACAAGTTGCGTTGTTTGTTTACTCCAGCGATAAGATAATCAGTTCTCCTAATCGTAACACACTTTATGATGTTATAAAATTGCCGCACAGATAACGAACAGATCAGATGCGCTCGAGCTACGAACGATGATGACAAACTGACGATAGGCTGTGCTATATTTTTTGTGATCAACACAAAATAACTTATTCTTAGTCATATCCTGTGGAGATAAGCGTATGGTTCAGTTCTCATCGCCCAGCGTGGGAGCGGAAATGCCGAGATTCCTAGAAAGCGGCGGTTAAAACGAGCTGCTCTCAAAGCAAGGTCGGTTAAAACAAACTGTATTATTTTACGATCGAAGGCGGATAATCCGATTATCGGTTAATACGAGGTCGGTTAAGAGGGGGTCTACTGTAAGCATATGATACCCTCAACATTATTGGCATATTACAACAATATAACGGGACCACTTAACAATGCGACTATGTCCAATTTCCAATCACGCGCCACCGTGGGACCACGTCCAACGTAGAGTCACGCGTATCAGTAGTATAGCCTAGAAATCTTGGAGAATATTAATCAGTCACAGCAACGCCAATAGAAAGGATATAACTCCACAACAGTACTGTGACATTGATATAATCTCATATAGTCAAATTAGTACCAAGACATGTATTAATATAACACATAATCTGTTAATTAACATGTTGATTTAACCAAAACTCTTGTCAGTTATTATTTTAAATCCCCGTGGGAAAAACATCTAGAACCAGATTACCCTACAAACAATACATAAAATTTATTTACGCCAAATTATTTCCCAGGGGATTTTTAGAGCTTTGGGACCAGGAGGGGTTTGTTTGCACAGGGTTATTATCCCAAGTTATTGGGTGCAGGGATTTATCCCGCTAGCGGACAAAATCAGAACTCTGTCAAGCAGGATTTTTAACACTGCACGGCGAAAACCCCGTGGGATTTTTTCACCACTGGGTGCAGGGATTTTTTACACGTATGGGCAAAAATCAGAACTACACACACTACCCCTGGGGCGGCGATAACAACACCTAGTGGTCAAAATCAGAACTCCGTGAGATAGGATCGTTACCACTGCACGGCGAAAAATCCCAACAGGGATTTTTACACCTAGTGGCACTACACACAACCAAACACTACCACCCCCAGGGGCGGCGAGCCTGCCGTCAGCGGGAATATTCATACACTGCACGATTTTTAACAACACACCTACATTAGACTCCCTCTTATCCGGACACCTTTTAACCGGACATCGGTTTAACCAGACAACACTCAGCGGAAATTACATCTCTTTAACCCAACAAATTTTATCAGCACATCGGTTTAACCGGACCAGATCGGTAGGAAGTGAGCGGTACTGAAACGACTGTTCTCGTGGGAAAGATTTGAGACCAGCAATCACGTGTATAAATACAATGCCCTCCTAAATTTTAGTCAAATATTGGAGACGTAGGAATTGGCTAACTCAGGAACTCGCTAACTCGGTCGTGTGGTGGAACTGGCTAACTCTGGAACTGGCTAACCGTCTCAGTCAGGAATTGGCTAACTCCGGAACCCGCTAACTCGATTTTGTCTCGCGGCGGAATTCGCTAACTCTGGAAGTCGCTAACCCGGCCGCGCCCACTGCTCGGAGCGTTGCCAACCTTGTACGACAAAATAATCGTACACTGCCGTATTTCAAAATGTCAGTGTCTATAAATACAGTAAATGTTATTTTTTTTTGTTATCAATTCCACTTTTAACAGATAACTAGCCCAAAGTAATTAAAAGACAATTAAAAAATCATGAAAAAGTGTTTTTTATTAAACTGTACAATGGCCAGTTAAATGTTTATGATTTCGATCTTAAATATAAATGCCATCAGTATAAAAGGAAATAATAGAATATGAAAAATATTCAAAATTTAGTTTAATTGGTAATAAATAATTCAACCTCTACGAAAATAAGCTAAAATACACGCAAGTTCTTAAACACGGAAAACAGATTTAATTGTAATGTCGTAATAAACCAAAACCATTAATTAATACAGTCATCAACCATCGTAACTTTCATAATTAATTCATAGATTTTAAATTAAATGTTCGTCGAACCGTCCAACTTACGTGTACAAATATGATGACATAGACTAAGTTTTTATCTAGGCCTAATAGTTTGAACCAAAGCATTGTAGGCCTACTAGTAAATAGTTGCCTAATTCTAAAATGTGTTGAATTTTTTAGCAATAATGTTACGTGTTTTAAAACAGTTTTTAGATTGTACACCTAAGCACCACTAGTAAAAAATAGGAGAAGATATAATATTCATATAATAAAACGTGACAGGGTTATTTTAATTCACGATTTTTAATAAACTAATTGACGGATTTTCCTGATTTGAGTGTTGGGTTTCCTTTATATTGCTTTCACAAACGATATAAACTATATACCAAGCCATTGCTCGGTTCACCGTTCCCCAGTACTGAGCTACACAATAGACAATAGCTTTGTTTTAGGATAAGATAGAATCAGCCTGGAAAAAAACTCCAGACTTTTAAAAAGTAAGCCTACTGAAAGACGTAAAATTAATATTAATTCAACAAAATTAAGAGGATGACCCGGGTTCTACACTAATAGCCTACGATAAAAGAAATTTACAAGTTGTATTTATGCATAGACTAACTTTTAATGCAATCCATGAATACATTAGGCCTACCACTTTATAATGTATTGATAAATATTTATTTAAATTCAATAGCTCTATTTAAAAATACATAACCACTACAATGTAATTCTGTAATGACGTTTAACGTGTAAATTTTATTATGATTTATGATTTAAGGTTACTACAAGCCCAGTATATAAAATACGAACTCAAAAATTTTATTTGCAGAAGTTCACAAAATGGTATTTATTCAAATAAAAGAAACAAATGGCGGACTACGAAAATAGATATTTCATAACATGTAATAGATCCAAATTAAATGTGCATTTTTATCTTTTTCATACCAATAAGCTACTATTTAAGTAAGAAACCCACATATAAAACATACTCCCTTATATTAGTACATTTCTCATCCTTATGGATGATCTGAAGACAGTTGTATTGTTAGTTCTGTCCGGTGTACTGTCTTTAGAGGTCGTGTTTTGTTTACAATTGTTTCTTGTTTTCAGTAATTTAAAACCTCGTTTAACCAAATAAAACGTTCTAATCACAACTAATAACACGTCCCCTACCAAGGGACCTACAGTTTATATTGGAATCCGAACCACATTTTTGCCTTGGTATATATACGAATGGTCTTAACCAAACAGTAAGGAACAAATCATGAAGTTAACTATAAAATAATAGAAACACAATTTTGTCGTCACTAGCGATCAGTGTCACCGGACATGAACTAGACACGAAAAACGAGCTTCAAAGTTTACAATGGGATGTAAAGTTTACTTGTGTTGGTTAGTCTATGGTAAGACTATAATGCATTTTCCACCCTAATAATCATAAGAACTTCTCTGTGGTTAAACATACTTCAAAATATATTTATTTTATCGACTACGTTGCTCTTACTCCTAATTAAGCGTAGGATACGACATTATGGTGCCGATACGATATAGGTACTACACTTTCGGCAACACTGGCCAAAAATATTCGTGCTTGGCTCCCATTGGACGGCCCGCAAGGCTTCTGATTGGGAGTTAGCGAGTTCCGCCGAGGGACCGAGTTAGCTCTAGAGCGGGTTAGCGGGTTCCGGAGTTAGCCAATTCCGAAACCGAACAAGTTAGCGAGTTCCTCTCGTCGACCAAATTTGAAGATAGGGCATTTAACATGGGGTTAGCGAGTTCCAGAGTTAGCCAATTCCGCGGACCCAAATATTGTATACATTCTGCATTTAAATGGTCCGTTTAAAAAAGTTTTGGGGGACGTCGGTTTAACCTAAAAACCTGCTATCCGGACTGGCGTTGGTCCCGAGGAGTCTGGATAAGAGAGAGTCTACTGTAGCGGTCAAAATCAGAACTCCATCGCTATCACCTGGTGGCCACCATAATTGTGCTATAATTGTGTTATCAAAACCAACCGGGGTCGGCACAAATGGCGTAAGCTGCGGCAGTAGCTACAGCGTCTATTATACACTCTTATCCTATTAACTGGCATCGTAGCCCAATGGTTAGCGTACTCGTCTCTCACCCAGACGGCCCGGGTTCGAGTCCTCAAGCCGCCAAATACTTTTTTTTTATCCAATATCCCGATTTAGAACTCCCATAAGAGCCCATGTAAGTTCTATCTTCGCCCACATATTACTCTGGTTCTATTGTTAAAAAGTATCTCAAGGTAGTTGTAATTATTTAGGTTGCGTTAAAAAACACCCTGTATTTGAGAAACAATGCAGTTTTATACATATATTATCTGATACAAAAAGGTATAAAAACCATGTATAACCACTAATAAACCTAACTTGACATAGCCTATTTATACAAATATATAGCAAACAAATAAACACCCCCATAGGTGACACATGGAACTAAACTCCAGGAACCTAAAAGAGCGATCGGTGAAATTAGTGAGCGTATCAATTATGGGCCTTGAGATTGTGCGTGTGCATGCAGACCCCATGATTAATGATGCAATAGACAAATAGAATAAACATAGACCGGCAGCAGTGCTGCGGTTAGCATATGTTCCGGCGCACACCGCTAGGAGTGCCGTTTGGTTACGGCGCACACCGCTGCAGGTACTGTATTCTATTTGTCTATGATGACGCTCTTAAAATAAACAAAACACTTGTTTAACCGCCTTTAGACTCACTTTTACACCATAATAATTCAAACTACTGTAGCAAACATAGTGTTTATAGATTGCCATACGTATTATGAAGAAGTAAATAGTATAACCAGTGTGTATAACCAATACAAACTTTTCAAATCCATAAAAAGCTCCTTGATTTTGGTAATCATGAAGCTTCTGGTACATTAGGTAGTAGGTTAATTTTCTTTCAAGTATTGTAACCCATTTCAGTGGAGACTCCATGCGTTCTAGCCATGGTGGAGGTTTTAGAGCGTATTGAAATGCTATTTGATTGATGATAATGGTCTTCTCTCTGTTTTCATTCTCCGAGTTGAAAATGAGAGATTTCTTGTCTTTGACCATTTTGGGAGGCTGCTGATTTAACAGTTTTCCTGGAATGGAGAAATAACAGGGCTACATTAGTGCAGATCTACTAAGTAACTAAATACATATACATACATGAGCAGGCTAGCCTACTTTAAGTTAATTTCCTTAACTACCATATTTACTAGCTACTACCATATTTTCGGTCTAAGTACTTTGTCACAGATTTCAACGTAATTGCAATATAATGGAGCTTATTTGAGTATTGATGTTACATTTCCGCTTTTTTGCAGTTGGTGTTTAAAATTGTTCAATAACTTTTAATGAAATTTGCCGTCACTGGGTATTTACCGCCCTGAAGCTTGTCAAGACGCAGATAGCTCACCTGTATCTGTTGCAGCGCGTGTGTCACAAAAGTCTGATGTCGACTCTGGTAGCTGTAGAACATTGTCTTTGTGTTGTTGGTGATGTTCTGCACCCCTTCGTTGTGTTGACTTCTCAACTCCGCTTTGTAGCCCTACTGCTGCCACGACTCTACCGGAGTCTTCAGCTTTGCAACAATCTCGGGCGAACAATAGTGTTGTTTCGTCTCCCAAAGGTTGAGCAGCTGTGAGAAAATAATTGTGTTGGCATTTCAAAATATAGGACGTTCATTTATTTGTGGCAGGACAAATTGAGGAAGTAGTTTTATTTAATTAAGTTTAGTCATTTGTTTTTGACAATTACTTAGTAGAACATCATCCGATCACTGACCCACTTTTCACAAAAAGACAAAACAGTTCCTGGTACAAAACGAGCGTGACATCTCTACTGTTACATTAAAAGTAACATGAGCTGCCATTTAGTGTTTTTGCTTTCATATAGTCCTTCATTAGTTGTGACTTTATATTTTTTACAATGAAAGGAAAAACTTAAATAAAAATTAAATGGGAGCCAATGTTAGACGAAGAAATGGTAGTAAATAAAGAACGTAGCTTGCATTAATTAGATCAGTTATTTCCATACACTTAATCAATTTCTATATGCTTATGGTAGAGATGGACGGGTCCTGAAAATTCAGAAAAATATACCGGTAATCCCTATTATCGGGATGCGATTGACTCGGGATTTTCTCAAGACAAGATTCAATCCCAACGTCGGCGATTTGCTGTGTCAAGAGAGACTGTGATGAAGTCTCTGAGATCGCGGTAGATGTCCCCAGTATGACGAGTATAACAAATCGCAAAGGACTTTCACACTGGCTCCGTGGCCGCGAAACATGTCAAATATGGCGTAGCAAGCACGAGACATATTGATGATGGTGTCGTGACTGCAGAACAAGTTCACAATCGCACTGATCGTGTTACATGTTGACGATGAAGCCGTGCCCGACAAATATGCTGACGATGCTGCTGTGACCGCAAGACATCCTGACGATGGCACCAGACCTTTACCACAAGACATGTTGACAATTGAGCCCCGATTGTGAAACACATTGACGATGGCACCGTGATTGAAGGAGATGTTCATGATGGTGCCGCGATCTCAGTTTATAGAAATGATGACATTGTGATATGTACATATTACAAAATGTATGATTGCTAGAGCAAAGTACTTCTTTTCTGCTGCTAATCATATTATGCCCCTAAACTATTCTTAGTTTTTAAAAATGTAGTTATACCTAATCAGTTTAAATCCCTGGTTGCGGTTAGCTAGGGTATTTTGTAATTGCTTTTGTGTTTCGTTAATTACATCAAAAAATTATTTGTCAGTATTTGTCACTTGTGTATTTGAACTATTATTGGTTTTCTTTAGGGATGGTCAAGTCTCGAAATTTCGGGAAATTTTCGGGAAATTTTAAATCTCGTTACACGAGATGAGATTTCTTTTTGGCCGAGATTTTTATCGAGACGTGAATAAAAAAAAAATTAAAAAAATTAAAAACGCCTGCAGAAAGTCAATGCAATACCCGCAATACAGGAGCGTGTTGTAGTTGCGTTTCCTTTGCGAAGGCGTTCTTATTTAACTAATTCTTTAAATGTAAATATTACTTTAATTATTTTAATAATATTACTTTAATAACATTTGAGAAGTTTTGTTAAGTGTAAGCAGTGTGAGGAATGTTTTATTACTATAAAAAGTCAAAACAAGTAATTATTTTATAAAAATTAATATTGCTTTTATTTTATGATTTATTTTATTTTAGGATAAGTTGAACTCTATCCTAACTGATATCACTATGTTTCCTAATCGTAGGCATTTTTAATAAGTTAGGCGTGATTAATAAAAAAATGTTATGCTGATGTTTTTTAATTAAAGATTGTAAATATTCTTGCCTATTATCATTATTTTTGTATTTAAACAGTCATCTAACAATGTTACAAAATCAGGTAAAAATTTTGAACGTGCATTTCCCGTTGTGTATGAGAAGGGAAATCCCGTCTCGATCTCGTCTCGAAATTTTATGAGAAATAAAAAATCTCGTCTCGTCTCGTCTCGAACTAAAAATCCAATCTCGTCCATCCCTAGTTTTCTTACGATGAAAATTGGTTTTGTTTGTCATCATGCTATCTATAAAGAATTTTTAAGGCTAAAAACCCCTTCCTGTCTTATCCCAAATATGGGGAAGGAAATACAAATCCAGTTCCAAGCTAAAAATATGATCCCGTCCATCGCTAGTTTTTAATTTTATGGCTAATAAAAACTGTATTACAGACCGGACCTCACAACTAGCAGGATTTTTAATCACACTTCTTAAACTTGCGACAATGGTTTTTATTAGACACTTCCCTTGTGAAGGCTACTGTCATTAAGGAGGCAAACATGCCTGTTCCATAAATTGTGCAACGTGTGTCTATCAGCATCAGACAGAAACTTTCCTTACTTTCTGAACAGCTTTTGTATTCAACTATAATATTTTACAAAAGATTTCTTTAAAATTAAAGGCCTACCATGATCCTTATCTCCTTGATCTATTTCTTTCTTTTCTTCTAAAGCAAGACGTTTTGCTACGAACTCCTCAATGTTCATTTTCTTTTTCTTCTTCTTCTTCTTCTTTAAGGTTGAAAAGTCAATCAAGCGCATCCAAGGGCTATCATGGGATATATTGTCCTGTAAAGACATAAGCACACGGTTAGAATTAAATTTTAGTCAGAAGCATTTTTCTAAGGTTTATGCTTTAGTATTTTTCTCTTCCTAAAACAGAGTTACATTATTTATTTATTTATTTATTTTACCTTCCAACGGTCAAGAACCAATTTACAATATGTTGTATAGATGACTTAATCTAACTTAAACATATACATACAAAATAATTTTTGACAACGACATGCAGTAGTAAATACAATTTGAGCAGTATCAAAATAGACGTACACAAAGCAGAACTTTAAATAACAACCAATGAACAAGAACAAAAAACAAGAATAGTAAGTGAAAATATAAATGAACGACAAACAATAAATATATGAGTTTCAACAATAACAATAAATATTATGTTTCAAGAGCATCAATTTATGACCAAAATTAAAAACTTTATAGGCCTAACTTAACTTAGTGTAGAGGAATTAAATTTAATGGTAGGTAAATGGGGCAATCTGGACCACTAAATTTTTGTTTCCATTTTCCTTCTTACCGTTCCGTTACCGTGCCCAATACTGTTCCGTTCTTTCCAACAGTGCATTTCTTTTTCAATGTTAAATTATAGATCACCGAAATTAAAAACGTTTTATCAAGGCAACACTAAATAAACAGACCGTAATGCTCCTCTGGCATGTTGTCATCATAGGCGACGGCAATGACGTAATGTTTGCCGTTTGTATGATTAAGGTTATATTTTTGTTTTCCAAGAAAACAAGCAGCTGATCACAAGCGGTAAACATTATGCCATTGCTGTCCCCTATGATGGCGTCATTCCAGAGGAAAATTACAGCCTGTTTATTTAGTGTTGCTTTGGGTTTATGCTTAACTTAGCGTAGAGGAATTAAATTTAATGGTAGGTAAATGAATGAGGACACAAGATGCAGAGATGTGTTAAGGCTGTGTTGGGAAGGCCAAGTACCATTTGGGGTAGGCCATAGCAGTGGCCATAGCAGTAAGTGAGTAAGTGAATGGGTAATTCTGGGCCACTAAAATGTTTTTCCCATTTTCCATCATAGCCTAATACTATTTTGTTCTTTCCAACGGTTTGTTTATTTTTTATTTTAAATCATATTTAGCTATAATTAATTGCTTAGGCCTATTTTTTTGCTTGATTTATTGTATTTGTAGTGTAGTGTGTTGGTAAATGCACATTCAAAGTTGCTATATAAATATTGTAATTAGAGCTAGGCCCTCATGGTATTAACATACAGCATGGCATAGTTATCAGTGAGAGGGGTTGCGACCGATTGTGCCATTGTGTCAATGGATATGACACAACAGACACAACAGAACAATGCATGATGGTTTGGTTTAGCCATTCACTGCTTTGTATGGGATTTCACAGTATTTTATGTTTGTGTAAACAGGTCTTTTGTCCCAGCTTTTTCCCTACATTTGGCAGTACTGGAGGACCTATAAGCAATTGTTCAGTGCTGTTATATTTTTCTCGTTTAACTACAACCACAATGAGACGCAGTTGCTACAGGTAGGTACTGTTGCTCTTCTGTTCTTTAAACAATATTTGAAAATCTTCTCACACTCATCCGTACAACTGTTTAAATACTTGACGGTAGCCGACCACTAAGCAAAAACAGCGAATGTGTTAATCCATGCTCGTTTATTAACTAGTTGTGGAGAAAGTTATTTAAAAGTACATAGGCTAGCCTACTAAGAAAAAATGTTAAAAAAGAAAAAAAGGACATTGAAAAATTTCTTTTGCTAATAATGTGTCCAAGTGTCCCTCATTAACTATCACTATTAGACAAACTCACACGGAGCCCAGTCTAACTTTGGTTTAGTCACATACAGTGGTATAGTAAAGCGGGAACAAGTGGGAACGGCCACGGCGCTCCCGCTCTGCTTTTTCAAAAAAATCAATATATTGATAGGCAACCCTTATTCATCTACGATATTAGTGAGCATTCCCTCACTGCAAAATAAAAAATTACGAATACACCACTGGTTACATACTAGAACTTAGAAGTTTGAAAATTAAAACAATCTGAACATTTAAAATAGTAACAGATTAGAGGACTATGAACTGGTATGATTTTCAGCAGCTTAAGTACCGGTACCATTCAAATGATGACTGGTGGTAAGCCAAGCTGCAAGTGAGAGAGTTACCTAACCCAATTTTTCAACTAACACTTTCTTTGGGATCTCTATACCTACCTCTATTGCCTCCTTATTTTCTCCTCTGTCAATTGTATCTTCTTTAGTCTTGTCCATAGCATCTGGCAGCTTCTAAATTAAATGCCTCCTTTCCTTTCTTTTTCTTTCTCTTTCTTTTCTTTTTTCCAAAAATTTCTTTTAGATCTATATTATCTGCAAACAAGTACAAAATCACAATGAATAGCCACATAAATAAAGACAGAAACAGATTAATGGTACGGATTTACTGAAGATAGGAGTTCTGAGTGTGAGAATGAAATTTAAGGAAACAAAAATTATCAAATCTCAGATGATTTTGTTCCAACATGTGGCCTATAGTTTGTTTCTGAAAGGACAATCATTGCCAGGACGAAATCAAACATACGAATGAGAGATTTTTGTGCAGTTTCTTTTTAAAACTCCATAAAATTGCACACTTAGTAAGCTATTGTGTGTTGTAACTTCTTTAAGACTGTACAATATTTCATTATATGTTTTTCTATTGTATTTGTTTTGTAAACATTCATGAAACAGAATTTGTGTTGAGTGGATATGCGTGTTTCTATTACCGGTAATTATTTTATAATTAATTACAGTCATTTTATTGTGTCTACATTTTTCTTGTTTCATACAAAAGTGCCACTGCTTTTAAACTTAATAGTTAACATTACTTAATGATAAGTTATTTTGGGTCTGACTTACGGGAGGTATAAATGAGGCATCGATGACATCATAGTTTAGTTCAAAGTTCCTCCATGAACACCGCTGTAGTAGAGAGCACTTTGGCTATAATGAATGTTTACTAATCGAAAAAATAGTTCCTGTTCTTAAAATAAAATTATAAATGCCTCAAGTTCAATTTTATAATTTTTAGTTATAAAATTAAACTGTCATAACCTAACCAAACTTATTGTTAATGAAAAATATAAGGTTTACTAATTGAAAAAATAGTTCTGTTCATAAAATGAAACTAGAAATGGCTCAAATTCAATTTGATGTTTTTTAATTATAAAATTAAACTATCATAGTCTAATCAAACTAACCAAACTTGCTGATAATGAACAAATCTTGGACAAAAGGTTAGTTTTACTACCCGTTGGTTTCGAACCTGGCACCTTCAGATTATAAGCCCGGCATGCTATCCATTAGACCACCGAAGCCGATGGCTGTAAATTGTACCGTTGTGGTAATGGTGTTCCCTCCAGCTAACTTAATCAGAAGCCTCCAAATGACACAAATGATGTCATCGTAGGCTCATCTACATCCCTTGAGTAAACACCAGTTATTTTGAATGAACACTGTAGCCTAGACAAAACTACAGTAGACCCCCTCTTAACCGACCCTAATGGGACTGGACCTAGGTCGGATAATTCAAAAGGTCGGATAAAACGGGCAATCCCTAAAATCATAACATAATGAAGTGCTATTCATTTAGAATTATATAATCATTATTGTGAAGTCATACTTGCACTATTTATAAAATAAACTACTCTTATCTCCTTTTTCATGTTGTTAGAAATGTCACAAATAAACACAAAACACGGTTAAGTCAAATAGGCCTACTTTCAGTGAATATATTATAATACTAGGCAAGAGTTAATAAAATTCCTATATTAATAACTTTACTACTGTAGTGTATTAATTAAAGCTTTCCAAATACATCGTAATACAGTACAGAACCTTTATTCGTCATTAAAGATACAAGCGACAATTTTGTTACAAGACAGAACGTTTATTTATGGCCACTCACTGGAGGTTCGAGGCACAAAAACTATCTTGACCTTGGATTTGTTAACACCCCTTCCCTGCCCTCCCTACAAGTTGCGTTGTTTGTTTACTCCAGCAATAAGATAATCAGTTCTCAAAATCGTAACGCACTTTATGATGTTATAAATTTGCCGCACAGATAACATATCAGATCAGATGTGCTGGAGCTACGAACGATGATGACAAACTGACAATAGGCTATGCTATATTTTTTGTGATCAACACAAAATAACTTATTGTTAGTCATATCCTGTGGAGATAAGCGTATGGTTCAGTTCTCATCGCCCAGCGTGGGAGCGGAAATGCCGAGATTCCCAAAAAGCGGCGGTTAAACCGAGCTGCTCTCAAAGCAAGGTCGGTTAAAACAAACTGTATTATTTTACGATCAAAGGCGGATAATCCGATTATCGGTTAAGAGAGGGTCTACTGTATTTCTGTTCAAGCAGAAAAACAGCATTCCTGATGTGCTGGCCGGATTCAACTGGATTTGGTTTGTAAGAAAACCAACTGCCCAGGCATAGTATATGGTAGCATAATCATGTAAAATGTGTGTTTAAAGATTTCTAAACCCTTAATTCCCTTTACATTTGCTTAGTAAAATGTTGACTTTATTACATTATTACAAAAAAATTATAAATGGTGATTTTTTTTTATTATTTAGCCAGGGGAACGATGTATTGAGAAAAACAAAGATTATCTACAACACAGCCTTAGTCAGTCATAATCTAATTAGGCCTAGGATTTTTGATCCACCACATGTAGGCTATACAAAAATAACAACATTAATTTTGAGCCGTACCATCAGTTTCCATGTCTTCAGTCTTGGAAGGTTCTTTGTTCTCCTTATCCGTAGCACTGGCAACTGCTTTGTCCCCATCTGCAACATTAGTTGCCTCTGCCATGGCTGACTCAATATAAAAAGTGGTCTAATATCTTCTTCCACTTTTCAAAAGAAGGATTACAAATCTGTAAATAGCAATTAAGTTTTTAGGCTCACTTAATTAACAATAATATTTTTAAATATCAAGATTGTTAAATTGGGATTGATTTTTTGGGCATAACACTATAGGCTATATTTTAGTTGCTCTTTGGCCAAATAGACAAAACTTGTTAACATAAACATTGTGCAGTTACTACATTTTTTTTTTCCATTTTGTTTTGTCATGAGAGCCGAAGCCCCCTGACTGCATACCCGGTACCTATCCTTTAGGACATACCCGGGCCCCATGATGTAGGCCGAAGCTTACGCATCAACCTTTAGCACATCATGGGCGGATGACTTAAGGTCATCAGGCTCGCCGGCTGCCGAAGCAGACCCTTCGGAAGGAGGGTTGACCCTCGATCCTAACCAGGGATTCCGGCTGCTTGTTTAAGCGTCACTCCACCTGGGTTCCAAAATGTAAAGATATAAAGCATTCCGTACTGTATACGTTTATTTTTTCGGCCCAAGAAGAAAAGTATAAGTAGGCCTAATAACAGTTACTGAAGATAAGTACAAAGACAAACGTTCCACGATGACGCAGAAGAGATTGAACCATCTTGCCATCTTATCCGTCCATAGGGACATTGCTAAATCTATTGATGATAAGCACATTGCAAGAATGATTGTCAATAGAGTTGAAAGTCGCTGTGCAGTTTTCGGGAACTTCAAAGACTGGAGTTCAAGTTAGGGCCTACTGAAGTTTCATCAGAAGTTTAAAAATCTAGTAAACTTGTAGTAGGCTAATATCTTGAGATTCTTGTGTGGGATTTTACTTATTTTAGCAATAATTCATCAAAAAGGTTTTGTATTTCTTAGTAATTTTATGTTGTGCCAATACAATGTTTGTAATGTTTTTTGTGTAAACCATTTTTTATCCCCAGTGGACACACTTACTTGGTTATACTCTACCGTCTTACTTTTGTGATTAACTATAATCAAGCAGCCAATTTTAATTTAACTTATTATTAATTCAGTTTTGAGGGGGAGGGGCAGAGCTTGCCGAAATTACGCGAACACATAAATCCCTAGGGCCTAGAGCTTGTTTACTCTTCTCTGTCGTCTGCAGCAACTCATTGCTGACAGCTTTAGTAAAATCTGGGCACCAGTACTTCATTTTATATTTGTTTGAGATGTATGTGTATTATTTATTATAATGTTTTTACAATGAACAGTACGGTAGCGTCTTTGTTAAATTGTAAATTTTCTTTGTTACTGCTTGAAGAAAAATGTTCTTCAGGTAGCCTAAAAACACGTTTTAAGGCTTTTATTTTTCAAAATTTAAAAAATAAAAGCTTTTACCCTGGGGGGTATTCCATACCCCCCAGACCCCCCGGATGTGGACCTCCACCATAGGTTTCTGACCCCCTAACAAAAATTTGCTTCCACCGCCCCTGATCTACTTTTTGTTTTGTTGTCAATTTCCTACCATGAAAATTAGGTATTGTTTTTTAACAAAATGACATAGGCCTAAGTTAAGCTTACTGGGAACTGGAAACCAACATCACTCATTTTATAGGTACTTTTAAATTCTCAAACGTCACCTGTCTAAAAAGATTTACCATGGTAAAATAAAGAATGTAGGCCTAGCCTAAGTTAAGTGGTTTATGAAATCAACAACCCTATCCTGTTTTTGTTGTTAGTTTTCTTCATAATAGGCCTACTCTAAATATAAAATTACTAACTAGAATTAAAACTACTTTTTAAACATTCACTAAGTATAGCATACTAAAATATAATTCTTTAAAAACCTTTTTCTATAACGGATAATAAAGCTAAAATAATAAAATTAACGTTTTAATTACTTGAGTCTGTAATAACTGCTGGTGTTAGCATGGATAAAAGGAGTAGACACTTCTTTTAACTACTCCTTTTATCTATGAAGTAAAGTAAAGTATTAAAAACTAAAAAGTAAATTATGGTGTTAGTAAACACTAAACAAACAACAGAAAACGGGAACGGGATACTCAAACAAAACAAACAGTTAATTATTATCTGTTCCTGTCTATAGCAGAATGCCAGTACAACAAAAAACAAAACAATGCCAAGTTAGCAGGATAGCCAACATCTCTACATCCATGTTGTACAGTATCAATTTACATAGATAGATAGATAGATTTATTTGATCATTAAACATTATACATAAAATGCAATAGATCATGTCAATAAATAGTAAACAAGGTAGTCAGAGAGATACATGCAATCAAGCTACATCAATTAAGGTTTACATGCACAAAAATAGGTAGGCCTACCTATAAGATAAATTATAAATAATACAGACAGGCTTACTAATAATATATGCACTAGTAATTAGACCATATAAGTCTATTCGTTGATTATGAGCTTAAGTATAAACTGTATTTTGTAAAATCATAGACTTCTCATCCCATTGTAAATTTTGAAGCACGTTTTTCGTGTCTAGTTTATGTACGTGACACAAAGGCGCTAGAGTCGATGAAACTTTGTTTCCATTATTTTAGGGTTAATTTCTTGATTTGTGCTTTACTGTTTGGTTATATAACTAGGGGACAAGTTATTGTTTATGATTAGATCGTATTATTTGGTTAAACGAGGTTTTAAATGGCTGTAATAACGGGAAACAAATTGTAAACAAAACACGACCTCTACATAAACCGTACATGAACTATCAATAAAATTGTCTTCAGCTGTTCCATAAGGATGAGAAATCTAGTATGTTTTATCTATGGTAAAATGTTGTCCCTGATAGCACCTTGCAATGACAGTAATCACTGACATAGATAAAACATACTCCTCTGTTTTATCTATGTCACTGATTCGCTGGTAAAGGTACCACCGGTGGGTGTACCACGGCATTGGCATAGTCGCAAGAGCGGCCGTGGTCGCAAGTGTGTTGTTTACACGGCCACCGGGCCACCTTTAACTCCGTGGTCCCAGAGACTTACACAATGCTGGTCAACGGATTTAAAATATCATGTCATGAGTTTGTGTGTAGACATTTTCAATATAGATGTTGGTCTGTCTGAAAATGTTTGTTCGTTGAGATGAAAACTAAACAGGGGCAACAGGGGGCGGGCAGGCAAGGGTTCAGACTGATAGCTTTGTCACCCCTAACCGTATCATCCGGGATCTTGGGCTTTTCCCAGAAATGTTTTGAAATTAAAGTAGCCAAAACCAGTTTTAACACCATTTAGAAGCTAAGGCTAAGAAACCATGTTATCCAGCCTAAAACCGTACCTATCCTAGTGCTAGTGTGTGACCGAATGTTTATGTACAATGTTTCGTTGTAAGACTAATGGTCAAGAGAAAATTAAAAAAAATATAGTTTGCTCGTTTACGTTGAATTTTGATCAAATTCATATTTCTTTAATACAGTCCTACTAAGCTATTAACATTTCCCTAAAAACATACATTATTAGCTCCCCTGTAGCAAACCTAATTCATTAAACCGAATCTTATCTCCATCAGGAGATATTTAAATACAAAATCCAATCAAGTAAATATAAATTCGCTTAGATTGCAGTTTTGCTGTGGCGGGGGTGTTTAATTTCCTACTATATTTCAATATTTTCATAAGGGTAGATTTGAAATTTTTAGGCCTTAACATTTTTGTGTTTAGCCAGCAACATAAAGAAGTAAGGTAGAGAGGACTGAAGAAACAAGCTAATGCGGGACAACAGTGCGCTTTCAGTTCTTGTGTGTTGGGGCAGAAATACTTTGTGGCAGCAAGAAAGAGTCCGAATGGTGAGCACTGAACGGAAATTCCGGAAATGCATAGGGCACAGGATCTTCCCCCATAGTGAGCTTAGTAGTAGAGGTGGGGAGCGGTTGCAGCACTTTACCCTGAATACCAGCACTAGTAGCCTACCAGAAACCATGGTATACCATGGTGAGTATCCTCTGTTTCCTTACTTCTCTGTAGCCTAGCACAAAAATGTCTGATCCTTTCAGTAGCTAGAATAACGACAGATGTAGGTCTATGTCGTTAAAGGCCTACAAATTATAAAATATGTTTTGTTGAAATAGACTATTTAAAAATTAACTGGGATAAGGGCTGGCGCGAACTAGCCCCACTACGACCGGTTGGATACCGCTAGCTTTATAATAGTCGTATATGGAACAGCGCGCACTGGCCGACTGGTCTCACGACCAAAGTCCTTATAGTTTGGTCGAGCCTGACTCAATGGATGTTGCAACCAAAAATAGAACACATTCAAATGAGACACGCGCACTACCTCCTGACTTGTCTCCAACCCGACCAGTACAACACTCAACTCTCAGTATTCCTAGATCAATCAAACGGTAAGCATTTGTTTTTTGTGTGGTTTGTAAAGTGACTTCTTTTGTAAAATATGCCAGGATTTTGACACTGACAGTTTTACTATATGGCTATTAAAGAATGGTCCTGTTTGTGGGGTCTATCAGCAGATTATGCCAACAGAGAGATGAAGAAGGAAGCTTTGGAGGAGATCACAATGATGTTTAGTGGACGTAAGAATGTTACTCATTCAACTACTTCTTCAACATCCATCTCGACACTGAAGTTTGGTAAACATTCGTTGCCTTGGTCGGGTTGTGTTCGGGTCGAGCTCTGGTCGCATGGTGAACGACAACGACCGGTGGGGTGTTTGGTCATGGTCGTGGTCCGGCTAGTGCGCGCCAGAATGACCAATTTTTACAAAAAAGTTAATGAATTGTTATTAATTATTTTTTTGGGTCTTGTTTTTTTATCACACATGAGTACATTTAAGTATTTAACCAAAATAAAAATAAAAGAGGAAAACTCTGTCTCCATCCTCTACACTTATGAAAAAGAAGCAAAAAAGGTGTTGTGTGCAATCGTGGTTAAACTCACCAATGCCATCAACTTCCACCCAAGCCGGACAGCATTTTTTTTTAAGGTGGGCCCTTCACATTAAGCCACACATTAGTAATAAGCTTAATATAACCTACACATGTACGGGATTTGAACCCGCGCATGTAGAAATAGTCAATAGTCAATTTATGAACTACTTAGCACCAGTGGGTTAGCATTATTTTACCTACTTATTTAATTGAAGTCGTGGGGAACACTGAGTTCACAACAAAACAAACCAAATCCATACCACAATTAGGGAGTTATAATGACGTTTTTAATATTTTCAAAAACTAGTTTTAGGGAATTTTCCATATAGGGAATATCAATACAGTATTAGCGAAATTCCCATATAGGGAATAAGCTATTACCATAGGGCTCATGGTAGGACCTGGAACTGGGACTGATTTACTTTTATGTTTTGAGGTCCCCAGAGGCCAAAAACACTACGGTATCCGTTCAAAGTTATATATATGATTTTATTTAGTAGTACCATAAAACATTTTATACAAACACATTTTTCATTGCAGGCAATTTAAACTGAAAAGAGTTGTAAGTATAAAAATCAAAATTCACTTTATCTACAGGTTTAATGCAACCGGAAAATCAAATGGAGATGGGTTGTCTACTTTGGTATTCAAGGGTCAACGGTAGCCCTTTAAAACTAGCCAATGTTAAACTGAAAGTGTTAGTATGGGGAAAAAATCAACCAATTAAGTTACCAAAATCGTATATTAACTTATAAATTTTTACATATGCGCATTTATAATTGAATATATAAATACAAAACAAAGGATGACCAAACACGTTGTCTAGCAGCGAAGGGGGACAGCAGAAGTGTGAGACGCAGCACAGATGTTACGTTAATGTACAAGTGTTGGGAGGTGATTAGGCAGTTTTCGCACGTATTGCCGCTCGCTTTCCAGTCACAGCCTGAAACAAACAACTTGGTTAGATCTCAGAAAAGTGCTTTCCTTGTGGGTTGTTAAGCTCACAGCTATCCCCGGCTACTTCCACCTGTTGGCCTTTTGTAGCACTCAACTTAGGCCAAACCTTAGGCTCTTAGCTTAACCCATTGGCATACCAAAATTGCACAACCTGATCACACACAGGGATTTTTTTTTTCTCTCTTAGCCGTCCACAAAACCAGCTATAATTTCCTTATCCATTTTTTATTTTGTCATAAATTACTGTCTTCCTCCTTAGAAAGATTAGGAAACAATTCTCAAATATCTATACACCAGTGTTTACACTAGATTGTAAATTAGACAGTCGCCGAATTTTGACACAAAGCATATCCTAAAACCCTCTTGTTGTTATTAGTATTTTTCTCTTCCAAAACAGTTTAAAGACAACCAAAGAAATTAAAAATAACTATTGCAGATGCACAGAAAATAATTATTGGCCTGACAAGTAATGTTATCTATCAGAATAATGTCAAACTAGTAGCAATGTCCCAGGACAGAACAGTTCCGTCTGAAAATGCTTGAGCTCATTAGCGGTAGGACGGTAATGTTCTGTCAAAGTTTGCCAGTGGATTCTAAGTTTAGCCATTCATTTATTTTTACACACACTTTATTACTTTAGAAAATCTAGACACAAGACCTTTGGATTTTCATTTGAAATATTTTATATAGCTTTGATTTGCTCAAGAAGGTTGTTATTGTATTATTTTCTTACTCATGTTAGTCAGAGAAATTATCTTTTTGTCTTTTTAAGGATATGACCTTAAAAAAATTGCAAAAAAACATTTTATGGTTTTATTTTGTAGTGGATACATGTACCTACCCATATACTCTTTGACAAACCTTTCCAAAGAGCAGTTTTATTTACTGGATACTGAAGATCATTTATGTGCTGTACATTTGATATAATATTTTTTTAAGACTCTTTGTGATTTATTTTCACTCAAGTCAAAAGAACTAAACCAAAGAATGAAAACCACAGAGGTATGGTAATAACATTTTATATAGCTTTTTCAGGCTAAATACTTTCAACAAAGAGGAAATCGCCTCTTGATTTTATACCATAGAAAACCCTAGACATGAACTAAATAGTCAGATCCCCATTGAAACTAGAAGA